AAAAGTGGGTGGGTACAAGATAGGTTAATTCAAATGTTTCTAAATTGAATTATACGACTTTTTCAAAATATATAAAATAAGTTCAAAAGCTTACCTTTGGAGTTTGCATGTTATCCATAGTAATAATACACAAAAATCGATACAAGAGCCGATCACTTCACAAGAAGTTGTAACTGAAAACAATGATTGAAGATGTTTGGAAGTTGGAAGGAAATTGTTTAAGTATACAATTAAATTAAATTGCACAATAGATCACAAACTCAACAATTAAATAAGAAACAGACAGAGTTTTTAAAACAATATAACCGAGCACGGCTATGACATTTTATTTGACAACACATTTGACACCTCATTGGTGGTCGTTTGTCACCAATAAGCGTAGCCAATAAGCATCTAATGTCTAGACGCTGCAGGGTCTAGATTGGTTTGCCTTTACAAAAAAATGCCACAGTTATAGAGATGTAAATTCCTAAATTTTCGTATCGATAAAAGCGTACCAGATCGTTTTATGACGACAGGTTAAAGACTGAATGTAAATAAAAATATTCCTAGAATTTTTCGGGTTACTATGTGGTATTAGCGTTTCCCACTGAATGATAGTTTTGTTATTAGTTTTCTTTCAATACTTTTTGGCAATTTTTTTTATTTACTAGAAACGGGGTATAGTAAAAGAATTGATAGTACTATAGGATATTTTACTTTATCAGATTAAGAAATTGTATGTGTTCATTTCAATAAGCCACATTAAAAGTATGTTTGAAAACTAAATAATTACATTACATACATTAAATAGTTATGCAAACGAATCCAAACTACAAATCTATCAAAATTGTGTTATACCGGGAGCCCCAAAATACCTAACCGTCGCAGCCTTATTGACCAATATCTTATGATAGTCGATGATGAAAATTTCTACTTTAAGTACGCTCTTTTGCATGCCGATGCACGCGCAACAACACGTCACATTTCACAACATTAAACAAAACACAGTCTTCACTAAACTAAATTTAAACACTAAATATAAACACTGTAAGGTGCACCAGGGTAAGTTCGGATACAGGGTAAGGTCGGATAATTCGAATTACGGCTAAACCTGGGGTATTTATTACTAGTGCTAACACTGTGCGATACTTCATCTTATTATCCTTTCCCCTCGATCCGCGCCAATCGCTACGATGGGTTATTTGTGTATGGTGTGTCAAAAAATAAAATAATAACTTTTGGGCAGATTTTAGGCAGATCTGATCTTAAACCCGGCATGGTTTTTGTCAATATTCTGATTAGTATTGTATCTTTTTATTACAGTGTCAGTGTTATGTTGTATATTTTGTGATATTATTAACAGTTTCCAATTACAAATGATTTAAAAAGCTATCTGTACGCTGAAATCCAGTCTTCCCTGCAACGGTTAAACATCGGATTAAAATTATCCGTTCTTTTCCTTACACAAAAATGTCAGTGAGTTCCTAACTTCAGTTCATGATTAACTTGAATGTTTACTAGCTGTTATTACATTATAGAGGATCACGTACATTTTTAGAAATAAATAAAAAAGAAAATGAGCAGAAAGAAGCATTACCAAAAAAAAAAAAAACATGCCAGCTAAAATCAAAAACGTAATTTCCACTAAAATCAGTTCAGGTATTTCAAGATCGAAAACATCGATCTTGAAATACCTAGTCCATCGTATAAAGTTGATATAGATACAACAAATGAGAGACAAGAAGGCAAATCAGTTACTTAAAGAAAGCAAATGATTTAGGATCTGTAGGTTAATAATACTTTCAGTATTTTTTTTATTTTACTCGTATAAACAAACTTTTGGAATAAGTATTCCTTTTTAATTTCGATTTATTACCAAACACATCCAATGCTTAAACAATTTAATTTGAAACATTAAATCCTTTGCTGGACTCGGGATCATTAGCTAAGCACATTATGAATTCTGAGAACAACCCCTCAGAATAAAAACAAAACATAATCAAACCTTTGAGAATCACATTATTTCGCTTTTACTAATGTAGGGTATGATCGGATAAAAAATTTATTTAAAATAGAAAAATGTAGTTTTTACGAAGTTATTTATAATGTTACTAAAAAAATCAGAACTATATGTTTACTAATAGAGTCAATGTTATAAAGTAATCCGAACTTACTCTTCTAAGGTCCGATCTTATCCTTATGTTGTAGAATTCATTTAAATTTTTTACGACGTCGTAATTCAGTATTCGTTAAAAGTAGAAATGTAACAAAAAGACAAGTGCGTAGTATATTTAGTTATTAAAAATTAATGCAACTTACATTCTCTTTCCTATATTTAAAAAGGTGAAAAAAAAATTTTTTTGCTAAAGACTTTCCAAGTCATATAAAAATAGTCCGATCTCACCCTGATGCACATTACTATCTTATTTACAACAACTAGTATAATAATGCACTGAAACAAAACAAAAATCAACAAAAAGCTTTTCCAAACAAGCGGAAAATCGACCGACAGAACAAAGAAGTGCGTTAAGGTTAGCGCGTGCGACTGGTGGGTGGGAAGGGCGTTGATATTCAGGGATGAACTAGGTTCATTTCTTTTATTTTTTAATATTCTTTTTAAATACAATTTTAATAAGTAATTAGTCAGTATTTTTAAAACAAAGTGCATTTGTGTTAATATTTAACTGCTAGAAGATTTATTAGTTTATCGAGTTTAATAAGCGATCCCGTTGTTTAAGGAGTATTATCCATTAACAAAAAATTATGAAGAACTCTGCTTTTTGTAAATAACGTAGGTTAACGTTAGACTGATTATTAAAAATCAGTCTAACGTTAACCTACGTTATTTACAAAAAGCAGAGTTCTTCATAATTTTTTGTTAATGGATAATACTCCTTAAACAACGGGATCGCTTATTAAACTCGATAAACTAATAAATCTTCTAGCAGTTAAATATTAACACAAATGCACTTTGTTTTAAAAATACTGACTAATTACTTATTAAAATTGTATTTAAAAAGAATATTAAAAAATAAAAGAAATGAACCTAGTTCATCCCTGAATATCAACGCCCTTCCCACCCACCAGTCGCACGCGCTAACCTTAACGCACTTCTTTGTTCTGTCGGTCGATTTTCCGCTTGTTTGGAAAAGCTTTTTGTTGATTTTTGTTTTGTTTCAGTGCATTATTATACTAGTTGTTGTAAATAAGATAGTAATGTGCATCAGGGTGAGATCGGACTATTTTTATATGACTTGGAAAGTCTTTAGCAAAAAAATTTTTTTTTCACCTTTTTAAATATAGGAAAGAGAATGTAAGTTGCATTAATTTTTAATAACTAAATATACTACGCACTTGTCTTTTTGTTACATTTCTACTTTTAACGAATACTGAATTACGACGTCGTAAAAAATTTAAATGAATTCTACAACATAAGGATAAGATCGGACCTTAGAAGAGTAAGTTCGGATTACTTTATAACATTGACTCTATTAGTAAACATATAGTTCTGATTTTTTTAGTAACATTATAAATAACTTCGTAAAAACTACATTTTTCTATTTTAAATAAATTTTTTATCCGATCATACCCTACATTAGTAAAAGCGAAATAATGTGATTCTCAAAGGTTTGATTATGTTTTGTTTTTATTCTGAGGGGTTGTTCTCAGAATTCATAATGTGCTTAGCTAATGATCCCGAGTCCAGCAAAGGATTTAATGTTTCAAATTAAATTGTTTAAGCATTGGATGTGTTTGGTAATAAATCGAAATTAAAAAGGAATACTTATTCCAAAAGTTTGTTTATACGAGTAAAATAAAAAAAATACTGAAAGTATTATTAACCTACAGATCCTAAATCATTTGCTTTCTTTAAGTAACTGATTTGCCTTCTTGTCTCTCATTTGTTGTATCTATATCAACTTTATACGATGGACTAGGTATTTCAAGATCGATGTTTTCGATCTTGAAATACCTGAACTGATTTTAGTGGAAATTACGTTTTTGATTTTAGCTGGCATGTTTTTTTTTTTTTTGGTAATGCTTCTTTCTGCTCATTTTCTTTTTTATTTATTTCTAAAAATGTACGTGATCCTCTATAATGTAATAACAGCTAGTAAACATTCAAGTTAATCATGAACTGAAGTTAGGAACTCACTGACATTTTTGTGTAAGGAAAAGAACGGATAATTTTAATCCGATGTTTAACCGTTGCAGGGAAGACTGGATTTCAGTCTAATGTTAACGTCTACGTTATTAAAACTAAAGTTTAAACTAAAATTAAAGTTAAAACCTTCTCAAACTAACCTCACTTAAACAAATTTTCGTTTCCAATTTAAGTTTTTTAATGATCAGTTGATAGCAGTTTCATAAAAGTAGGACTTTTTGACTTGTGAAACATAAAAAACTTAAGTTATTGAGAATAGTCAGCTAAGATTTTCTACTTCTCTCAAATTAGAAACCAGCTGTTAGTCTGTTAATTGATTTAAGCAGTTTGACTGCTTCGTTATTTGATTACGTGTTAGAATTTGTATGAAAACCGTCTAATTAATCTCGAAATAGTTAATGTCGTTTTTCAGTTACTAATCATTTATAAACATATATGTTATTGGTAATATGGCTTCTAATAATTGGTGTTTTATTTAAAATATTTTATCTAATTGGTACCACATTATTAAGTGTTAGGTCTATCTAATAAAACTTTTTGTGTGTGTTGGTATTTATTTTTATTAACACTGAGAGTCGAACTTCAAATATATACTAAGTATTTATATATTGATTAATGTTTATTATCGATAGCAAAACGATAATCGATATCGAAGGCGAACAAGACAACTCTAACATTCTTTCTTTACTTGAATTTGACCAAAATTTGACATATAGGTTTTGCTTTGGTTTGGCGATTCGGACGTAGTTGCTGTTTTTGATTAATTGAACTTTGCGAGGTTCCTATTTTTGTGATTAACAAGTAAAGATTAGCAATCATAGTAAAGTTACTATTGGCATAAGAATACAAGAAGATGACTTCCACTATCCCCGACGATAGAAACGAAGAAAGACGACGCAGGGTATGTTTCAATGACAAGGTTTACCTTTAATTTTATGTACCTGATAAGGGTGCTCTTGTATGATTCATCATGTTGCTTTTAACAAATATCAGTGTTCTAGTTTAGTAAATGATATTCAGGACCGGTTTAAAGAACTCTTAAATAAGTGCGTTGTTGTTTATCAAAGTAGTTTTTTATTGATTTTAATGAAGAAGAGTGCTCGCGATCATGTCGGAATTTTCCAGACTTGTAATTATTTTCGTCTTATGCAATTCATCTATCAAATACCTACGTTATAATGCTTTCAAATTAAAGTTTTTTATGTTTTTTTTTCTAAATACCTATTTGTTCTTGATATAATGGGGTTTGGAATTTGTTGTTCCTTTTCAGATTTCATAATATCGTTTATTTACGTCGTTGATGGTTTTTATTTGTTAATATTAATAAATTAAATACATGAGAATGGATAAATAAATGCACTGAAATTGAATAGTAAATAAATAATTAGGTCCAATTTATAATAATTAGGTCCAATTAGGAATCTTGCTATGCTTTTCTTTCTACATATTAGTTATAAGGGTGTAATTTTTTTTCTAAGAAAAGTATGGAAATCTGAAATAAGTAATTTTATTTATTTTAGTGACAAGAAAAACCACATTCAATCTGGACATTTTGTAAAATAAAACTTACATTGATCCTATTTATATACTGTTTGTGTAGGGCTTAAGTAGGTAATGTTACTTTGTAACATGATGGCTAAAATGAATAAAATGCTCAGATTTTTATATTTTTTAATTTATTTTAGTAAATGTTGGAAACCATTTTTTTTTCAATACAACATTTGACTCATTTAAGTGCATAAGGTATAAAGTTATCTCTATTATATTTCATAGTTTCATAATTTATTGCAATAATTTTTATTATTTCTGTGACTTTAAATGCTTGTGTTGAATATGTTATTTTAATTGAAGGTGCTACTCGGTCCTCTTCCTGCTGGCTTTCTACGTGCAGATGGAACCACAGAAAATGTAGATGCAGATTATCAGGCTGCACTTGCTTTGCAACAGCAACTGAGCGGATCAGCTGTAAGTAGATATCCTACTGCTACTCTCTCTCTCTCTCTCTCTATTGTTCTATTCGTAACCTAGGGATAAATAAACTATTCTGTGAGAAAACCAAATAACAAAATTTACTAGTCATATGAATTAATCACACCTAAGCCTTTTCTGTTTCTATGAAAATTATATTTCTATTTCTGAAATGCATAGCAACTCCAAAGAAACACATTTTTCGATAATTTATGATGTAGCAAAGATAAGACCTGACACTGCTGATGCTCAGATATTCTTTACGGATATTATTTAACAAAATTTTCAGAATAATTCGAAAATTCCGAATTTTTTTTTGAGGACATATACATACATAGAATAGGCACTCAGGTGTCATATTAATTCATGCGAGCTATAGCTGAAGAATAATAAAAAATATAGTTTTTTTTTAATAACAATCAATATAACAAAACCTAAAGTATTATGCCTTGTCTTAAAGAATTTTTTTAATAAAATCACAAATTCCAGGTACCCGAGATGGGTTTCAACCCACTACCTTTCGTAATTCGGGTGACTACTCTAATCATTAAGCTATTCAAAACCTTGCTTTTAAGCATTTTTCTTTAAAAATATGAATGTCACATTGTCTGATACATACTTAAAAACTAATCATTTGCCAAGCGAATTCAGTAACAATAAATTCATCATGCAATAAAAACTTAAACTTTTTCTAAAGCCTTAGAAAAAAAAAATTGTCAGATCAATATGCATAATTCTGATGTAATTGTAATGGAGTTGAAAAATACAATAGATGTCTAACCTATTAGTGCATTATTTTGCTATATGAAGTGAGTAACATACAAACAAGTTATCAATAAGTGCTCTCTTGAATATCATTGAATTATTTTTATATAGCCTTATTTGCCGCTTATTACATTGAAACTTGTTTGTTTATCTAAGATCTCTCAGTTTGTGTGCTTATTGGCATAAGTCTCCTCCAGGTCTTTGCAATGATTTCTATCCAGGGCTACCCTTAGAATGAAATCTTAAAATAATTAAGTTAACAAACTATATAGGTATAAATGCGTTAGCCAACGTGGCTAGAGTATAAGCAGTAACGAAATAAAGTTATTTACAAATGTATTCAATAAACGATTGATTTTAGAGTTATGTTTTTTATGTCTCATACGCAGAAACGCATTGTTTGCAAAGCGAATTTAGACAATTAAATTCATCATCCAATAATCCAGTATACTTTTTCAAAACCTACTCATAAAAGAAAACTGGACAACCATTACAAATGCGAGATTGATCAAATATGATATTATGCCTTGTGTTTTAATAATCTTATCAGATCATAAATTAACAATATTATCTTAACTGAATTGACTTTTTTATGTATTTATAATTGATTACTATGAATACTGATAATAGCTACTTTTATCATTCATATATACTAAATTATTTGAGTTTGCGTTTGCCATGGTGACACTATTACTGAGTTCTAGGGTTTGGTTAATGCATTGTTTTTTATATTGTTTCTATTCTGATTGAATAGTATCATTGTCTTGTAGGTGTTGTGGTAGTCAAAGTGATATTTGTTTTATTATCACAATAAAGATGATTTAATAGCTTTGCCTGAACTTGGAATCAGAATAATTTGTGCCCATACTGGTGGACTAACAATTTTCACAAAATCGTTTTTTTTTTACCTGCACATGCAACTCGAAATTTTCTATCAAACTGATTTTTGTAAAAGATTGTCAGCAAACAGGTTTACCAGCGTGGGTGCGATTTATGTGATACCAGCTTTCCGCCAGCGTCTTTGCCCGCGTGGTTTTGTATTATACATAAAAATCCACTGTCTAAGCGCCTTAGTTTTATCTATGTAGATTATTAATTTAATTGTTTTCTTACATTTATTGTGTAGATGCCGCCGGCTGGTCCACCTCTCACAGCTAGATTGAGTATAACAATTGTTCAGGCGAAACTCGTCAAAAATTATGGTGAGTAAACAAACATTTTTTCCTTTTTACATAAATACATCTTTAATTACTACAAAATAATATTGTTTAGAGATTGGTGCTTGTTTTCACTGATGTTGAACAAGGCGTAATTTAACTAGGATACACCTAATCTTATGAATTGCTTAAGCAGATTAGTATAAAACCATTCTTTTTTATCCCTTTGATCCATTTTGAAACCTGTCATATTACGCAAACGCCTAGATTAAGACGCTGCATAACGCATGTCATAACTTAAGACATTGCTTAATGTCGCTAGGTGGTTCCTAGGCATTGGTGAAATACATTCTCACCATAGGCGATTCCTAAATGTTTAGATCATTTTTTTTTTTTTTTTTTACAAAATATCTTACACTTTTCATATGCATAGAGGAAGACGCCTTATAAGCTAAAAGGCGTAAGACTACTAAACATGGAACACAAATCAACTAAAGATATAAGATTGTCAACTGCTGAAAATAGTTTCCAATTGCTTTTATATTTTAAAAATGTTAGATTTAAAGTCTTCTATGTTAATTATTATTTAAAACTGCTTTGGACCAAAATAATATTAATTTATTCTCTCAACACAAAATTATGTACTTACATGTGAGTCTTAAGATTCTTAAAAACATTTTGTATCTTTATTTTGTGAGAGACTGGAGCCCGGAATTGGTTTCAGTAGAAACCTGTGTGACAGGTCACCAGGGTCTCCCCACGGAAAATGTTTGCAGTATTTATATTTCATGTAACTATTTTATTATATGTAGGCCTTACACGCATGGATCCGTATGTACGCCTGCGCGTTGGTCACTGCATCTACGAAACCCACACTGATCCCAGCGGAGGCAAGACACCCAGATGGAACAAAGTAATCCATTGGTAAGCCGTTCGAAATTCAGCTCCGCTGTCTACACTCTAAATAAATATTAAACAATATCACGGATGTTGCTCAGATTTCAAGAAAAGTAGCTAAGGCTCTTAAATATATCCGAGAGACTGGCACAACGAATATACCATAACACCCAGGCCTGATACAATAGAGAAAAGCTCATTCTTACATGGTTCCACTTGGGCATCGAACCCTCAAATCACTTACTGATGGCCCAGTGATACCTTCAAGTACGAGCTATTCTACCATGGAGATTGTATTATTGGTTTGGCTATACTTTATTTAGCAAATCTATCTCCTCGAGAGAAGAACCAACAAGATATAGGGAAAAACAAGATTTTATTACAAAAACACCGTACTGATATTTTTTTCCTGTATAAAACTCCCAATGACACATTCGCATGAAAACAACAATAATCTCAGACACATAAGTGTCATATTCATAACATATTCAAACACAATTTACTGCTTGAATAAGGAAAATAAATTCAATTTATTATTATTATTATTATTGAATTCACATGTTTTATTATAAACCTTTTGTGTTATCCTACCTAGCCTCCTCCCTCCTGGCGTAAACTCTGTTTACTTGGAAATATTTGATGAATGCTCCTTCACGATGGATGAGCTCATAGCCTGGGCTCATATCACTATACCACCTGCAGTACTTAATGTAAGTAACTCTGATATACAGTCTAACATGATAATAATAAAGTAACCTAACCAAAAGTTTATTGTGTTCTACGCAATAAAATTGAAAAATTCATTGTTTTTTGTAAAAAAAATAAATTTGCCTATTCTATGACCCTATGAAATTAAATATTCGCTAAAAGTAACCACGGTTATCTATAAATTAAAATGTTGGTTATTGTTATTTTATAATGTTAAAATTTATTGTAACAATAATTATATATTGTTTGTTTGTTATTAGGGGGAGACCCATGAAGACTGGTATCCTTTGAATGGTAAACAAGGTGATGGTGCCGAGGGAATGATCAATCTTGTACTCAGCTACTCGGTGAGTTATACAATATTATATTATCGTAAAAAAAACACTTAAGTACCTAACCAGTCCCAGGTGCCCATAATAGGATTCCCACACACAATCTTTCGCATTTGCGTTATTAATCCCCGCAAATTGCTAATGCGTCTGGCCGCCATTTAGGTGATGTAATCTTGTACAAGCATCTGTACTCAACACTCAGTACTGTTCACAAATAAACACTTGTTGAGTTGGGTTGTGTTGTAATATAATTGTTTTTTGTTGTTTTAGCAACCCTGATTTCATACAAAAATAAAAATATTGAATTTGAACTTCTTAATATTGATCTCGCAACATAAATAATCTCAACCCTAATACTAGTTGTGGTATTGGCGAAATTAGTACTAAGGCAATAAAACGCGTTAAAAATTTAATTGTTAATACCCTTACAAATTGTATTAACAGATGCCTTGAACATGGTATCTTTCCGGAAAGTTTAAAAATTGCTAAAGTAACCCCTATTTTTAAATCAGGATCCAAATCGGTTCCCTCCAACTATCGACCAATGTCTGTTCATCCGGTAATTTCAAAAATCTTTGAAAAGATACTTCATTCACGCCTTGAGTCGTATCTAAATTCAAAAAACTATTTTTACCAGAAAAAATACAGATTTCGTCCAAAATCAAACACTTTGGCAGCAGCTATTGATTTAGTAAGGGGTTTGAAAAATAAAATAGACCAGAAACAGGTAGCCCTGGGGGTTTTCATTGATTGAAAAAAGCATTTGACGCGGTTAGTCATGAGATCCTTTTGCAAAAGCTTTACAACGTCGGAATCGGTGGGAAAGCGTATAAAATAATAAATTCTTATCTACGAAACCGCAAACAGTTGGTAAAGATGGGTGACCATCAAAGTGATTCTCTACAAATTACATGTGGCATCCCTCAGGGGTCGATCTTGGGACCTCCCCTGTTTTTATTATATATTAACGATATATCGGAAATTAATCTCAAAGGAGAAAAAAGTCTTTATGCAGACGACACGAGTATTTTTTACTTATGTCGTAGTATTGATGCAATTATCCCCAATGTTCAAAGTGATTTGAACGCATTGAATGATTGGTTTGGTTTCAATATAACTTGCTAACTATCAATATCGCTAAAACTAACTACATAATATTTTCTGCAAAAAATAAAAATATTGGTGATCATACCGAACTAAAAATTAACAACCAAAAAATTAGTAGAAGTTACAATGAAAAGTATTTAGGTATTGTATTAGTCATCTTGCTTGGAAACATCATATAGAAAAAATAAAGTCAAAATTGCAATCTCTGATTGGTGCACTATACAGTAATGAAAAGTATTTTTCTAAAAATACACGATATTTAATCTATAATTCACTGGTAAAACCACACATAGACTAACTTATAGAAATCTGGGGCACCGCAGCTCAGACAAAGCAAAACAAATTAATAAAAATACTGTTCAATTATAAACTTTCGCACATCTACCGATAAAATATTCAAAGAAACTAAAATAATGAATATTCGACACACATATATTTATTCAACATGCATACTTATAAGGAAAATCTTAAATAAGGAAATCAACACCAATATAAGTTTTAAACGGAAATAACAATTCCAAAAAATTAGATTACACAGTGCTAATAACTTGGTTCTTAGACCATCTAGAAAAAATTATGGCAAGAAAAATAAAGAATATGAAGGCTGCAAACTGTATAATAAATTACCAAATATTATAAAGAATACTAAAACAATGACGAGTTTTAAAAAATTGCTTAAATCTTTCATTCAAAGCCACAGTCTTTGATAAATGAAACTACTAATAATATTTGCATAGAAAAATAAACAAATATTATATATGTAAGAAAAAAAAATAGTCAAATAATAATAACACAAATTCATATGCTATTTTTATTATGATAATCAAAATTATATTGAAACATAACCCTCCTTATGTTTACCGTCGGGTAATAAAATACTTATACGGGTCATAAATAGTTGAACGGGTTTGACAGTACATGAGTTATACCTATATATTAAGAAATTGTTTCGTCTTATTAACAGTTTTAGATATTTTAAATGCCACATCTAGATGCAGGGCAGATTAAAAGCTTCGCACATCTATGTATTGCACTAATAGTTAAGACTACCTTCTTTACTTGGAAAAATAATTTATACAGTGATTTAAAATCCGATTGTACGTTACGTTTTTCTTGGTGTTAAAATTGTTTGTGTTGTAATTCTCAGTAAGTGAATTTTTGTAATTCTTTTGAGAATAAATATTTCTATAACCGTAATTTCTCATTTCATAATTACTTTGGACGATGTTTTGAAAATAAATTTGAGTTCTTGACAAATGCAAAACAATATATAAATAAAAAAATGTGTATTTTTTTAATATATTAGGATAAGCATACAATTATAGTTTAAATAACTAATATAATAGCATGTAACAAGGTATACATAAATTTGACACCAACTATGTTTACCATAGATAAAAAAAATTAGACAGTAGCATCTCTATGGTTTTTTAGGCATATATTTAAACAAAATGAAAGAACTTATTATAGACGTAATGCGCTACAATTTATTGATTACTTTTTAACAAATCGTCAAGCCGTTTTGTTCAATGTATATTGTTATGAACTCGAAACAGTCTTACACTATGAATTGTAATTTTCTGCTAGTCGATACATTGGTGATTGATTAACAACGATTTGTTACGAATAAGCTACAGGAATAGAGAATATGCGTCTGATTCAAAAAAGGGTTAAATATATTTTATTACAATCGTTATTGCTTTAGAATAAAGTATATCTAAATATTTTTCAACATTAGTTCGTTATCATCTTGAAAATAATTATTAAAAAGTGCAAAATAAACGCGGTAACTTTAAAATATTCAAACGCCATGCTACTTGTCAGAGCGGATGTGACGAAAATGTACACATATAGGGATGTCGTTATTACAAAAAGTTAACATCGATGCAATAACAATGTATTATGTCGCAAAATAACAACTGATTACAATTTAAATGATGATTTTGGCTTTTATTTTTATTTCATCAATATGGTAAATTATATGATTTATTAAAAAATTCTATTATACTTTAAAAAATCGATTAGGGTAATTGAATAACAATCAATCACTCAAAATTCATATTGATTTAAAATGTCATATCTCTAGTCGTGTACTTTGACGTCACGACGAGCGCGCCAAAAATTCAGGTTTTTAAACTGCTCGTAGCTATTACTTATTTTCATCAATTATTAATGTTTCAAAATTTTAGTTTTTCGGTGCCGGGTATTTTTTTACAGTTATATATGGATGTAAATTATCATATAAAAACATTTTCCAAAAATGTGCATATTCCGTATTGCGGGTATGAGCCCTAGTAGGAACTTATAAAGTATTTTATTAATTAATAGGATACAGTCATATCGATTGTGACACAGATCATAGTGTCGTCACCACTAATTGAGAACGTCGATTTTCATGTTTCACTCGAAATTTAATTAAATAAAAATATAAGGTCAAAAAGGCGTACTGTTATAATATAGCTATCGCTTTAAAATAATTCTCCGTTATTTAGCTGTCGTCGGGTTTTAGTTTTTGAATAAAATAATAAAATGAGAATATATAAAAAGTTTTATCTACACTCAAATCGAAAAATTCGAATTACGAATTTAAATACTATACATAAAATTAAAAATAAAACTCATTATAGTACCGCCAACTGTATCATAAAACTCATTATAGTACCGCTATCTTTTTTATTCATTAAACTAGTCTATGATTTTAGGTTGAATATGCAAAAAATGCCGCACGCATGCGTGTTTGAACTTAATTCTCGTATACATTTATTATACATTGCGCTTCGTATACATTTTTTACCGATCGTGTTTTTAGATTCGGGATTCCAAAAAATTACTTCCTTGTGACCTATCTACTTTGTTTAATTTCAATTTTTCCTATGAGTGAAGATAGTAGTGTATGAAACTGCATATAACTTAGGTAATGAAACACTCGAGTCAACCTATTATCAGCCAGACTCTCGTGTTTTAATACCCCTTCTTATATGACAGTTGCATAAACTACTAGTCTACACGCCTATTGTTTATACGGTGCGCACAGGTGGGTCCGGCGGCGGTGAGCACGTTCCCACCTGTACTAGTGGTGCCGAGCACCGGTATGGGTTACGCGGCGATGCCGATGTACCCGCACGTGGCCCAGCCTCCCCACCACGCGCCCGCCCCCCCGCAGCCGATGCCGCAGCCACAGCACCAACCGGTCACACCTGAACAGCTGCAGCAGGTTATATATATATATATTAGTATTTTCAGCTGAGTATATTTGCGTCGTAGTGGATCGCCTGCGGCCCGCGATCATCTTTGCTAAGCAACTTTAGCAAGGATCGGTCGCGAGATAGGTGACTAAAGAATTATTGTCTCAAACGTTGAGTTAACGTCAAGTTGTCGGTACTGGCTGCATTTGCAGTCGATAATAGCCAGAGTCATAGCCCTTAAATATCCATAAGGAAGGCCTGAGACCCTGCAGTGGGGACGTAAAAAGGGCTGATTGTGATAACATTAGTGTAATCTATAAAATTAATTTTCTCCGACTTCTTACTACGGAAGGCGCCTGAAACATCTGCAGTCGATCTTTAACACCCATCAATTCCATCCCTTGAGGACGTTAATAGGCTTGTAATGAGATCTAGTAGGTTAGCTCATTTTGTGGAGTAAATGCCTGTTCCGTCTCGAACACCTGAAATATGTGTAAAAAAACCTGTTTATATAAATTCGCAGATCGAAGAAATGTTCCCGAGCATCGACAAAGAAGTTATAAAATCAGTTCTGGAAGCGAACCGCGGTAACAAAGATGCCACCATCAACTCCCTGCTGCAAATGTCAGAATAGATTATAACGGGTAAAGGTTATATATAAAACAATGTTTATTTATAGCTTCATCCGTGGCGTTTCAGTTCAATACAAGAATGGTGCTAGGATAAACAAAATTGATATAATCAGTTGTCAACGTCAAATTGCGCAGTGGATTTTGGTCTCTACTAGCGACGTATTAAGATTTAAAATCGAGTGGAGAGTTTTGATAGTTTTGACGTGACTTGCTAGCTGCACCATTCACTAATAAAACATTTATTTATTATTGTTTGTAAAATATAATGTCATCTGATTTGATTTTGCAATTATAGTTTTTTTTTTAAGAAATTAAACATGATTCATAATAACAATTTTATGATATGACATATTAAGTTACCGAGTTGAGCGAAAGAATGGATTTTTCACCCTGTTTTTAAATTTTGAGTAATATTGTTCTTGATTTTATATTGAATCTGAAATGTCACACGAATCAATTACCAAGAACATAATATATAAATTTATATTCTAAGAAAATCGTTAGTTGTATTAGCTTCAAGTGCAAACTACACGTATTATATAAGTCGGCGATAATAAAATGATAATGCAAAAAAAAAACCGTCGCACGCACCCATACAAATCCAATTGGATATATAGCCTTGTACATTTTATGGACTTATAAGCGATAGTATACCGTATATATAATTTAATAAGGTTTTGTTTAGTCATGTCAACAAATAATGTTAAAAATATATTATTGATACTTTAATTGTATATTTTATAACACAAACAGTCACAGGGGTATTATAGATGATCAAGTACACCACGCTTGCAACTGTGTCCCGCTCGTTTAAAAAGAGAGAAAATCGCACTTCGCTATTTACATACTTCTCTATTCGTATATGCGTTATTAGCATGAATTAGACTCTTTTTTAACAGCTATCCTTTATAGCTAGGTAACAGATGAGATAGACGAATAGGGTACATCGATCTCACATCTCTTTCTAACCGAGCAGACGTTTCCACTTACGGGCCGTCCATTAATCACGTGATGTTTATTTCAGAATTTTTTAAACCTAACTACACCCAAATTACGTGTGTTTTTAGTACCTACAAATATATCATAATTTTGGACCCCGCTTTTCGGTTTGGTAGTCGCGCGTTGAGGAAAATATAAATAATATGATATATTACTACAACCCCTCTCCCCCTTTCGAGCTTCACGTAATGAATGGATGGGCCCCTATCTCTATGTAGACAGTGCCCTCAGTGCCGATCAAATTTGATTTGAAATTAAACAAGTTAAATTCAACTGTGATTTGATCAGTGTTTGCTAGAAGAGGACAATAGTTTTGTATTCATTCAGACCGCAAACAGCTATAGTTGGATTTTATTTAAAAAAATTAATGAAAGCTCTAACTATAATTTACCTTTAATTTGCTCAAAATTAAATAATATATTTTATTAGTCAATTCAAAATACTGGAAAAGGGTACGAGCACTTTTTAAATTAAAATTTAAAAATTAACTTTAGTCTTAATTTAGATAGAGTTAAAAATAGCGTGCTAGAGTAGTGTCAGAAGTTTGTTGGTATAAAATACTATGTGTAAACGACATAAGGTTGATATTTAAATACTCTTTTGAAAGGTGCTCGAAATTTTTGTTTATTGACTTTAATCGACTCTGATTGTTGTTTCATAATCGATGATATAATTAGACGTCTGTATGTTTATATTTAAAAATTAGTTGTGTAAATTGTATTGTCCGACATAGTTTTTTATACAGATTGGCACATTATTAGATCGACGACGCTAGAATTCACCGATTATCTCGAGATCAAATTGTGTTAGTTTATAAATGATTTATATGGCATTTAAAATATTGTTATTAATATTTTATTGCTATTTTTATTAAAGTGAATATGCTTTTGTAGCCTCACTTAAGTTTCAAATAAGTTCTCTTTGATAAAAAAAATTGTGCAGAAATACTTCAAACAACAAAACCATTGGTTATTTATTTATATAAATTATATTTGAAAGATAAACATAAGTTTTTTATTATGCTATAAGGCTTATTATTTATTTTATAAATGCTAAGAATTTTAAAAATACAAATGAAATGGCATTAATACCTCCGTTTTTGTGTTTTACACTCCAGCGACTTACACCTTATAAAGTGTGTAAAGTTGCACGTTCTTCGACATTTTCATCGCTCTGTATCATTCTGTTACACATTCAATTCATAAGTAATTTCCAAAATTGACCACGCACCCTTTATAACATAATCTTTTGTACGGAAAAAGAACTGTAAAATATTACATGAATAATTAGAATAGAATTACTTATAATAATATTAATCCATAATATAAATTCAGTATGTCTAAAGCTTATTTTGGTGATCCAGTTACATTCAAAGCTCTTTCTCTGCACAATTTATTTGTTAATGATAACAAATAATTCTTAATCTATATTTGAAATAAAGTGTATTTTAACGATGTAAGGGTTATTTTGATGGAGCAAGTTTGATGGACATTGTTTTGTTCAAGCCGCATAAAGTACCGCCTTAAGAGTATCGAACGTAATTTAAAAAAATCTGATTTCTTGTCGAATGCTTATCGGCTAAATTTTGTGCCAAATTATTTGCCATCAATACTACATTTCGCTTGAATGAAGTATATTATTATTGTTGTATTAATTTGTAATTTTACAATGTATAAATAAATTATTGATTATTTAAAAAGGTGTTTTCAATCCTATACTTCACAGACATATTCATATGGTTTGAAAAGCATCGTCATCAGCAGCCTTTCCCATCCCTTCCCATCTACTAGTGACCTTTCTCAAATCATTGTAGCACCTTGCTGGAGGTCTTCCTTCCACGCTTACCGACTCGCGGTCTCCTACTATAGAACCGGCTTACCCCACCGGTTATCGGTTCGTCTCCAGATATGGCCAGCCAATTGCCACTTCAGCTTACTAATCCCGTGTGCTATGATTTTGCTTCTCTATCGGATAACCTAGTTACGGATTTCATCCCTTAAAGAAACTCGTCACGTCCGATAGCTCGCTGAGCGACATTGAACTGGTAGACCAGCTAGAATCCCTGATGAAATAAGGACATATTTCCAGTTTCAGTTTCAGAGATAAATAGAATTAAACATAGTAACTTTAAAATGCTGTTTGTCCACCAAGACATCGTCGGGACGGCAGCTCTTAGGATTTTTACAATCTGTTTGAAGATTCATCAAGCGTCTCAAGGAAGTAGACGAAGTACGCGATGAATTATAAATAATTAAACTATATAATTATTAACATTCAATAATAAATACGTTAAAGAAGTATTTCGACGGGAATGCAAGGTAAGTCGTAAAACCAATATAATAATTACTCTTTGTGTAAAACGGTAGCATCTTACTCTATGGTATGTCGGAGAGTATATAATCTAAGGGTAAACTCAAGGAAATGAAGATATTCGTATAATCTTCTCGGGTTAAACTCCTTGGATCATAAACACTCATAAAATCTATGGGTAAACTTCATTGCACACACCGCAGATAATAATCACAACTTTTTTAAAACATTAAAAATAAACTTGGGACAAATAAAATAGAGCAAGCGAAGACTACGACATCTCATATTACCTAACCTAGTTGGGTTTTACTGTGTGACTCTAAAATAATCATTTAAATAAATAAAATCCAATTTTTAGAATCAATTTAATATATTATTTCATAACATTTTTTTTCTTTTTCTTCTTAACCTGTTCCTCCGCCATCTGTGGTTTGACCTTATCGGCTTTCCTTTTAATTTTACTTATCTTGCCTATGACATCTTTAAACCTTTTATCTTTTTTCATAAAATTCTTGTTAACTTTCTTCATACCGTCTTTTATAGAGGCATCGATATCTTTGTCTCCTCTCTCAGTCGTTTGTAAGCGACTGTCATCCTCTTGTCTGGCTTCAGCTTCTTTCATATGCCCTTGTAGTTCTTTGATTTTCGCTAATTTCGCCTTCTTGGCCGCCTTTATTCGGCTCTCACGCATCTCTTCCAAGCTGTTAATTAGAATTTAGAAACATAATATTATGTTTATAATCTATCCAGACTTTAGTAACATTAGCGATAACATGTCAACTTTAAAGTCAGTCCCTAATCTTGGATTACTGCATTATAATATGTATTAATAACGAAATATTACTCTTATATTTTAATTATTTATCTAGCACACTTATTGTAAATATATTATATATCTATTGTAATATTATAAAAAGGGAAAGTTTCTAACTTTGTACGGTTAATCTTTGGAAAAACTAATCAGATTATGAAAATTACACAGAAAGACGAATTGTAATTTACATGGACGAAGTCACGGCTAATATGTAAAATATTTGTAAATGCACCATATTGGTACTAAAAAATTTCTCATCCGATCTTACCCCGCCTGCATCAGTTCCGGATCAACGCCGGCCTGTATCCATCGTTTGACGCGGTAGTTGCGCTTGCGCTGTTCAAACTCTTCATTATCTAACTTCGCTTCTTGTTCACGTCTCGTTACACTGACTGTTGTGAACACTTTCACCGCTTCATCGTCTGAAAATTCATCCTCATCAATTTGACCGATTCGAATAGGGAGGATGGGCTATCACCCACTACGACCCAATGTGGATTGGTGGGTGTTAACGACTACATATACAGCCGGGATCACCAGTTTAACGTGCGTTCTAAAGCACCGAGAAGCTCGAGATAATAAATTTTTGGTCACCCATCCTGTGACCGGCCCTCGCGAGAGCAAAATTATACTAAATTAAAATCTTTCGCTCCACGAACAAACACCAAAACCATCTAAACCTTGCCGTTTCAAACACGATCACTCTTAAAATATAAATTTATCAGGAAAGTAAAAATTAAAATTACCGTCTATCTTGTACTCGGTAAGCTTGGTCTTGATTTGGTCTTCTATCTCTCCAAGTCGAAGAATGTCATAAGGCGTGATCAAGGATATAGCCATACCTGATCTCCCAGCACGCGCCGTACGACCTACCCTACAAATAATAATAATAATATTAATAACTCAATATTACAATTGAGTAGCTTCTGTGCCTGAATGAGGTTTATAATTTAAACCTGAATCTCAGGCTCCAGCGCTCACTCCCTCATTATACGGTCTTAGTATAAGTATACAACATTTGATAGTAATAAATATTTAAATCCATGATTAATCCATTTTAGTTTCAATAAATATAAATTAACAATTAATAAATATTAATGAAATAGTAATAATAAAAATTAAAAATTGTAATTACTTGAAATCGGAACAACAAAAGTATGCTACATTATCGGTCAGTTGCAAAACATTTGTTAAGGTTTAATGTCAACTAAGCACGAATTAATGTTCCAAATTTGAAAATTGTGCATTAAACTAATGACAATTTTAATGGACGTTTCTACAAGTTCTGCTTATGTAATACTTAACTGATATATGTATACAATCACCTAATTCTTTACTCACCTGTGAATATACTCCTTCGGCTCCAAAGGTAATTTGTGGTTGACCACCAGATCGACGGTAGGTATGTCGAGTCCCCTAGCGGCAACATTAGTAGCAACTAGTGTACACTTCAGGTTGCTCCGGAATTGTGTTAATGCAGCCACTCGCTCCTTTTGCCTCATAAACCCATGGAGGCATACATTATCCATGCTAATAGCGTTCAACATCATTGAAAGTACTTGACATTCTCTGAGAAAAATAAAAACAATAATTACTACATAGTACAAATAAAAATTATCTTAATTTACTACTACGCATATACTACTGCATCTTAAATGGAAGTATTATTGATGAAGATTTCGAATTTGACTCATCATGCCAAATAGAAGATGGGAGAACTAGTTGTTGAAATTAGATTTATATTATGATAGGGATGACGAATAAATTTTGTTTGTTTGTTCGTCAAGTAGATATTGATGGATATTAAAGGTGTTTTATTTTTGCATCATCAATTAATTACGTTTTTGTACATTTTCTACCTAATCGTGACATAGCGAGCCCCCATTCCTTAACTTTAATTACTATTAATTTAGCTATTTCTTCTTTAAATTAAAGTATAATACGTATTTAATATATTTTTATTATTCGACTGATGGGCTAAATAGATTATTTTTTTAACTAATTCATCACCCCAATTTTCCTTCATCACCAACTTGATAGGCAGTATATTAATTCTTCGATTTCGTGCCTATATTCTTGTGATACAAGTATTGTGATATAAGTATTAATTAAAAGAAGCTCCCACCAAAGACTACACCAATCCTAAGTAAGCTTACTTTTTAGTGTCAGTGAAGACGATGATGTGTGAACTGGGCTTAGTCTCGCGGTACTTCCGCAGCGTTTGCACGAGGTACACGTCACGCGCATACGCAGGACACACTACGTAACGTTGGTCGAGTGTAGAAACGGTCAGCTGTGGGTCGGACTCCGTCCAGATGTTTAGTTTCTAAATGAAATGAAATGATGTTTATTTGCAAGAAAGTGGTCACAGAAATGATGTTATTTATCAAAAAGCACACACATTCTGCCGACTTGGTCAGCGTACAAATATTTTAATACCTATAACAATCTAATTTATATTTCTTAATGTCAGATAAACTTAAAATTAATAACAATATCTTTCCTCGTAAATGCAATTTCAAATTAAATAAAAAATAATGTCAAAATTTATCATTTATGAAGTTGTTAACATCATAATACATTTTATATAGTAATAAATTAAATATAATATTAAATTAAATCTATACTGAAATAATCAAATATATAGATTTGGTAAGTTAGATCATTTTAAATAGACAGGGTAGATCATTCACAATTACATGTTCGAACCCCATCTCAGGCACCTGAGATTGTCCAATTTATAGGTGTTTGAGAGAAATATATTTTTTATTATTGATATTTAACTAAAAAAACTCATATTATTTATGTAAGATTAATAAATACCTCCTTATTTAATGGCAACAGCTTTGATTCCCTAACATCTTCAGTAATGGTAGCAGAGAAAAGTAAATTCTGTCTCTTCTGAGGCAATGCATTGAATATTGTCTCCAAATCATCCTGGAAAGATTCACTGAACAATCTGCAAAATAATTTTCAGTTAATTAGTTACTATTATTACCATATAAAAAATGCATCTAATGCTAACAAGCAATGTATTTATATTAGAGATGCGCCGAATATTCGTTTGGTATTCGTTTGGTTCCAAATATTCAGCATTTTCTGAATATTTGGAATACCTAATAATTCGGCCCGACTACCAATTCGACTACGAATAATTCGGCCGGATAGTAATAGTAAATATTTTTTTTACTATTCGTATCCGGCCGAATTATTCGGTTTCAAAGTCAAAGTCAAAATAATCTTTATTCAAATAGACTTCTTAAAAGTACTTTTGAATCGTCCAACATTTTTTCCCTACCACTCGTTCAGGACGTCTTTTGGCTGATAAGAAGAACGAGCAAGAAACTCACCAGCTCTAATATGATAGAAAAACCATGTCATTACCAGATCAATACATTATAAACAGAGATAAAAAAAACTATGGTCTTATAATAATAACATAATCATTTAATAATAATGGAAACAAGATAATGAGTTTAGAAGTAATCACCTATCCAGTTGCTGGATCATCTCAAGTCCAAGCGTTCTTATCTGTTACATAATCGGACACCTTATAATAAGCTTTTTTAATAAGTATTTTTTTAATAGTAGATTTAAACTGGATGATATCTAATTGTTGTATTTTGCTTGGGACCTTATTGTAGAAGCGCACACAAAGACCCTTGAAAGAGTTATTAACTTTTTGCAGTCTAGTGACAGGCACCGTTAATTTATTTTTATTTCTTGTATTAAAATTGTGTACATCACTTTTAATAGAAAACAAACTAATATTTTTACGAACGTACATTAAGTTCTCGTATATGTATTGAGAAGCAACAGTCATAATGTCTATTTCCTTAAATTTCTCCCTTAAAGAGTCCCTAATCCTAAGATTATAAATTGATCGAATTGCTCTTTTCTGAAGCATAAAAATTGTTTGTATGTCGGCAGCATTTCCCCACAATAGGATACCGTATGACATAACACTATGAAAGTAACTGAAGTATACTAATCTGGCAGTATCTATGTCAGTTAACCTACGTATCTTCATTACGGCATATGCTGCAGAGCTAAGTCTACTCGACAATCTATCAATATGTGGGCCCCACTGTAGCTTAGAATCTAATGTTATTCCTAAAAATACTGTGGTATCCACAAGGCCCATGTTCTTATCTTTTACATTAACATTTATATCTACTTTTTTAACATTAGGTAGTACAAATTTTAAGCATTTTGCTTTTCCTTCATTAAGGAGAAGATTATTTACATTAAACCAATGTACTACTTTAGCGATAGAATTGTTCACATCGTCATTTAGAGGTAACCCTCTTTTAATTTTAAACAAGAGTGAAGTGTCATCCGCAAACAAAACTATTTCGTGATCATCCCTTACGAAATAAGGCAAGTCATTTATGTAAATCAAAAACAAGAAAGGACCAGGTATTGAGCCCTGCGGAACGCCCATCTTAATTTTCGATCCAGGCGATCTTTTGCCATTGATATCAACCCTCTGTACTCTGTCAGTCAAGTATGAGACAATAAAATCCAATGAGTTATCTCTAAATCCATAAAAATGCAGTTTCCTAATCAATGTTTCATGAAAAACACAATCAAATGCCTTAGATAGGTCACAGAAAACACCTAACGCATCATGTGAATACTGTGGTATCCACAAGGCCCATGTTCTTATCTTTTACATTAACATTTATATCTACTTTTTTAACATTAGGTAGTACAAATTTTAAGCATTTTGCTTTTCCTTCATTAAGGAGAAGATTATTTACATTAAACCAATGTACTACTTTAGCGATAGAATTGTTCACATCGTCATTTAGAGGTAACCCTCTTTTAATTTTAAACAAGAGTGAAGTGTCATCCGCAAACAAAACTATTTCGTGATCATCCCTTACGAAATAAGGCAAGTCATTTATGTAAATCAAAAACAAGAAAGGACCAGGTATTGAGCCCTGCGGAACGCCCATCTTAATTTTCGATCCAGGCGATCTTTTGCCATTGATATCAACCCTCTGTACTCTGTCAGTCAAGTATGAGACAATAAAATCCAATGAGTTATCTCTAAATCCATAAAAATGCAGTTTCCTAATCAATGTTTCATGAAAAACACAATCAAATGCCTTAGATAGGTCACAGAAAACACCTAACGCATCATGTGAATCCTCCCAGGCATTAAAAATTTCTTGTAACTCGACACCGGCTTCGGTTGTCGAGCGACCCCTTGTAAAACCAAATTGTTGTCGATTCATAAGCTTATTCTTGTAAAAGTACATTTGTATTTGATCCAGCATGATTTTTTCAAAAATCTTACTAAACGTAGGTAGCACGGATATAGGTCTAAAGTTAGTAGGGTCAGATGTGCTACCCGATTTATGTAAAGGAATAATTTTACTATATTTCATGAGCTCAGGAAAAATACCACAATCAGTACATTCATTAAATATATAAGCTAAGATTGGAGCTATTGTCTCAATTACCGATTTAGAAACTTCAATGGAATTACCCCATAAATCAGCAGTTTTCGTTTTCTTTAGCTGATTAAAAGATTTTATTATATCTTTAAAATCAATGTGTTGAAACTTAAATTGGCTATTAGAATTATTTAAACTTGCCTTTAAAATAGATTCAGCAACAGTGGAAGAGGAATTCAAAGATTGTGTAATTAAGACTGGAATTTCAGTAAATAAATTTTCAAATACTGTAGCAACTTCAAGATCTGATGTTACTTTTTTATTATCAATGTTTAAATTAAAATTTATATTCCGGGATTTTTCTCTTCCAGTTTCACTATTTATGATATTCCACGTCATTTTAAGTTTGTATTTACTATTTTCAATTTTTGCATTTAAATAATTACATTTGGCTAAACGACACACTTTTTTAAATAATTTAGAGTAATTTCGTACATATTCTTTGAAGTCCTCACTTGTGTTATATGTTTTGGTGCCGAATACATTCGGTTCGAGTATTTCTATTTTCTTGGTTACACAAAAAAGTATAAAACTAAAAGACAAAACTTCGTATAGAAGATTTTTGTTACAAGTTAAAGAAATCCTATGAAGAATGTTTTCAAGAAAGCTCATAAAATAAAGCAATGAACTTCAAATCATAAATATCTCTAATGAAAGGCATAAAAAATCAACCAGGCCCAAGTTCTCTGAGATAACACCCTAACCCACAACCTTTCACAATCTGGGTGACTGCTCTAGCCACAGAGCTAATCAGGACCCAACAAAACTAACAAATATTTCATGTATTTGTTGCTTTTTGCTACTAGTGGGCGTATTCTCATCAATGTTCAGGCAATCCACCCAAACAGTTGAAAGGAATAGAGATATAAATATTTAAAATTTTATTAAGATGAAAATTTGTTCTTATTATTATATACGCCCTACTACTACTACTAGTTGCGAAAAGTAACAAGTATACGAAAAAATCTACAGTCCTGTTGGGTTCTGGGTAGTTTAGAGGTTAAAGTAGTCGCTTGGATTGCAAAAGGTCATGGGTTTGAGTCCCACCTCAGAGTTCCTGGGGCTGGTAGATTTTTAAGCACTTTTCATTAAGAATATTTTCCAGTATAGCATTGTGTATGAAAAGTTTATCAAATATCATAAATATTTATTTAAAAAAAAAATCACTATAACAATATAATAGAAATCAAAAATGAAATAAAAGATAAGCAAAAATAAATATACATATTTTAATAATTATAATTGTTTAATGGTATATTATGGTGTGGAAACCTCTCAGCTCTTTCAAGCAAGTCTGTTAAATTTTTCTTCATATAGGTTCCCTGCTTCCAAAATAAATGTGAATAATAAGGATATTATAAGGATAATTGTGAAATTTTAACACTTTAGCTAAATTAAAATTATGAAATAGTAAACCAAATAATATGGCTAAATATTCGGTTCAGTTAAAGTTAAACCGAATACTATACGGTGAAACCACAATTCAGCACAACTCTAATTTATAGATAAATTTGAAATATAATTTCTGAAATTCTTCCTCATATGAAATACCTAAATAAATAATGCTTACCTATCTGCTTCATCCAATACCAAATATTTTATCTTTTTAAGTGTGAATGTGTCACAGCCCTGCAGGTGGTCTGCTAATCGTCCTGGCATAGCCACTACTATGTGTGGCCTCTTGGCTAGCTTCAAAGACTCTTCTAACTGATCAGATCCTCCGGTCACAATACACACTCTCAGCTGAAGGGGCCTTCCTAGGATACTAAACTGATCACCAATCTAAAAGTATTATTAAAAAGCCACTAATTAAGGTAATTTATATTTATATTTTAAGGAATTCCTCAAATTGTTTATTTGTCATCAAGTACCATCATAAAACTATTCATGTAGCTGAGTGTACAATACCTGATATGCCAACTCATGAGTAGGAGTCAGCACCAAAGCAAATATTCCATATGGGTCCTCAGCCAAGTTTTGCAATATTGGTAATGCGAAAGCAAATGTTTTGCCAGATCCTGTCTTGGCTGCTCCGATACAGTCATCGCCAGCGAGAATTTGAGGTATACATCCTTTTTGAATTGGTGTAGGTGTTTTGATGCCTGTAAAATGGAGGAAATAATGATAAATAAGTTTAAGTAAATTTATTAAATATGATACATAAGTTAATTAAAACATTTTTTTAATGTGAGAGAGCTGTGATTAAGGTACTAGCTTTTAAAAGTTCTTATAGGTACTTACCGAGGTCAAATAGCTGTTTGATAAGCCATGGCTTGACACCAATCTCGGCAAATTCTTTTTCGTCTTTTTTATCCATTATACAACACAACTTTGTTATCTATATTATTATTTAATATAATTTAAAGTCTGATACTATCGAGTACAGTTCAATATTTCTATAGTTAGATTTTATCTTCAATAAAGAACACGAGACACCTCTTGTTTTGGTAAGGTTTAGTAACGATATTTATATAGCACGTTTAAGATCCCATCACATAACTCATGTCTAAATCTAATGTTTGTTTAATTAAAGTTAACAACTTATCCTTAATTTTTCTTCCATAAATAAAATAGTATACTCCAAGTTTAACTAAAACATAACCTCTTTTTTTCACGTTCTTCTTCTTTTTGATTAATGGCGTTGCCCTTGTAGATTTCGCACAAGTGCTTCGTTCAATTTACTTCATATTTTAGGATTTTATAAAATTTTCATTTTGTAAGTTGGTGGTGAACGCACAATTTGAATTTAATTTTTTTTAAGTTAAATAATACCTACTTGAAAGGGTCTTACACAACTTAATTATTACCGATGTTAGAAAATACAAGTTGCCATAATAGATATATCAATGTCTTCTTCTTCTTCTTTTTTAATTAATAACTTATCTGCGCATTTCGCACAATTCTGCCAATGTCAAGTAAATAAATAAATTTTTACATGTAAAATGAAAATGAAATGAATGAAAGATGGCGATCATCTATATCAATGTCACCTCAGACCCAAAAGGAAATACTACGTATGTCACTGTCAAGCCACAACTAAACGATGGGCACTATGGAGCTAGCGATGAGTCTTTATCCATTTTTTTAAATCACGTAATGTAACCGCTATCAGATCGCCAATCACCGATATCAAAACTGTCTATATTTTTTCGATAAATAATTTCTATAAACGTCCATGGTAAGAAATAAGGTGTTCTTTAGTCAATTTAAACAGAAATATTTTTTTCTTTAAAAAATATACAGATTTTAAATATCTATTTTGATTTTGCGAATACTACGTGTTTGCTTTCAAGCGTCAATATATCTCTTTCATTCACACGTATACTGACATTATGTTGTTGTTTCATTCACACATAACAGGTTGCATTGTTTGCGATCCATACTATTTAAACGTTTTACATTGCTTGTTACATTCTATACGCTTATTAAAATTGCATAACATGACCGTCAATGTAAAGTGTTAATTTCATGAAGACGACTACGTATCGTTGCGAACTGCGATCGCCGCTTCTTGGTGATCGCGGTTATTGTAAAACGAGTAGCCCAAACATCAACCTTAAGTGAGATTTACCTAAGAGTGAATTCAGATTTACTTTAAAGCATTGTGGAAAATAGATAGTTATTGTATCACTGAATCACGAGTGATCGCGGTTCAAGCAAATCACAGCTACCAATCTTAATTATGGGTGATTTTAATGCCCATCACCAATCTTGGGGAAGTTCTAATTCGTCTTATTATGGTGCTAGGATCTTAGATTTCATGGACACTAATAATTTTTGTATTTTAAACTCTGGAGTCCCGACACGTCGTACTCTTCCTAATGAAGGAAATAGTGTTCCAGACCTTTCAATTTGTACACCTAATTTAACTTCGATGCTGACTTTGAATCCATTTAGATCCACATTTGGTAGTGACCACTTTCCAATTTTAATTTCCTTTCCGAAAGCTCTAATAAATTCGAGTAATAGACGATCTCCTCGTTTAAAATATAGGCTAAATAACAATAACAATGACGGAGTTGACAGATGGAAAATGTTTAGTTAGTTAGTTGAGCAAAAATTGACACTTCTACCACGAGTGCCTCTAAACAGCTCATCTCAGTGTGCCGATGCCTTTGCCTCAACCTTAGTAGAGGCTGCAGATGATATATTCCCTCATAAACGACATAATACGAATATTCCATCTCCACCTTGGTGGGACTCTGAATGTACGGCGGTAATAAAGAGACGTAAAGAAGCTGAAAATATATATACACAAAATGGTACAGTAGATAATTTTGATAATTTGTCCCTTATTATATCACAAACCCGTAAATTACTTAAGAAAAAAAAGTGGTAGGGTTGGAAATCATTCTGTACGAACCTAACTAATGATATTTCTCCATCAGTCATATGGAACAATATACGTAGGTTCAGGGCAGCATGTAAAGAACCCGTTCCTCATTTTATTGATAAAGAAGTAACAGAGAAATTTTTAGATAAGACATCTCCACATTTCACTCACAACAATTCACTCGACTATATAAATCATTAGAGAACATAACAAATAATTTAACCGGCCTCAATGCTCCCTTTAGCCTTAATGAAATAAAATGTTTTATCCTATGTAAAAGATTCAGCCCCTGGTTGTGATGGGATCCCCTACTCATTTTTAGTGCATTTAAGTGATGTAAGCCTTAATTATCTATTACAACTATAAATTACATCTTGATTTCTGATAGTATTCCTCTTTCGTAGAGAACTCAGGAAGTAATTCCTATATTAAAACTGGGTAAGTCTTCTTTTTGACCACATTTCATATAGACCAATAGCTTTGAACATTTAGTTAAAAGGTTTATTGGCATCTAGTCAATATGGCTTCAGGAAAGGTAAAAGTACCATGGATAGTTTAGGTATATACACTAGAGATATCAGGTTAGCATTTTCCAATAATCAATCTGTCATTGCTACGTTTCTGGATATATCTGCTGCATATGATAATGTAGATATCCATATCTTAAGAAAGAAATTGGTAAAATTAGAGGTTCCTCTAATTTTACTATAAATATCTCTTGCAAAGAATGGTAATAATTAAAAATGGTGATAATTTCAATAGTAAATCTATATTATCATGGAAAGGACTTCCGCAAGGCTCGGTCCTGAGCCCCTTGCTTTACAATATTTACACCTTTGATTTGGAATCTTCTCTCGCAAACTATGCAAATGTATTACAAATCATCTGCGATTTAGTTTTGTATACATCGGGACGTTCTATTGTCGAATTGAATAACTCTCTAAATAATGCATTAAAACAATTAAAGTCATGGTTAGATGAAAATGGTTTAAACCTTTCTGTTTCAAAAAGTAGTGTTGTCCTGTTTTCAAGGATGCGTCTTCGTCCACCATTCTCAATATATTATAATCATAAAGTGATTCCAGTAAATAACGAAGCAAAGTTTCTTGGAAATATCATCGACTCTAAATTGCACATTGTTTATCACAATGTTATTTATTATGTTACTGCTCGTTGTGAACGTTTATTTAACATCTTAAGGTGCCTTTCGGGCATTTGGTGGGGTGCCCATCCCACTACACTTAAAGTTCTTTACAATGCCATTATCAGAAGTATTCTTCATTAGGGGACCTACTTTTTGGAACCATGCAACATGTTAGGATTAAGTAAATTAGACAGTATTCAATCTAAAGCCCTGCGTATCATTACCGGAGCCATGATGTCAAGTCCCATAAATGCTCTCCAAGTTGAGTGTGTAGAACCCCCCTTAAAATTAAGAAGACAATTTTTATATGACTAATTTCTCTTTCGTTCCTTCCAATTTTCAAATCACCCTTTATATTGTAAATTACAGGATTTATATGAAAAACTTGAAAATTCTTCATACTGGAGACAAAAATCCCCTCCTTGTATCGTAAATTTACTTCTTTACAAGCACCTACTCACCGTTCACAGTACCTGCCTATTTTTTTTAGTAAATTATGAATCTCTTGTTATTGCTCCTGAAGTTCACTACAATCTAGACGTTGGTAAAAATGACCCTAACGCTATTATTAATTTTAAATATATTATTGATACAGAATGGCCTGGTTGGAATTATATCTATTGCGATGCGTCTAAACAACATATATCTGACTTAGTTGGCATTGGTGTTTATCATGAACAATACAATATAATTTAAAAAGTAATTACCACCTGAAACTTCTGTTTATATAGGAGAGTGCTATGGAATTTTAAAATCATAAGAATATGTTTTACTTGTAAACCTCAAGAACGCCATAATTTTTTTTAATCCTAAAAGTGCTTTACAAGCATTAGAAAAATTTATTTTTATATCCCGTCTCTCTAACACGCATTTAATTGAATGTAGGAAATTATTACTTAACTGTAAAATAAAAGGTTTAAAAATTGTTTTTGTGTGGATACCTGGCCATCATAATATTACTGGTAACGAAATAGCGGACAAACTTGCTAAAGATGCGGTGGAATGTGGTGATGTTTCCCTTATAAAAATTTAATACAAGATATCTTATCCCTCCCTAAATCATATTTGTATAAATCGTGGGAAGCAATATGGGATACTTGTAGCCATACTAAAAGTAGAACTTACAAATCTATTCAGGAGTCAATACTTCACAAACCATGGTTTTTAGAGTGCATTTAAGTAAATATGCTACTAGTCTCATTAGAATGAGTTTAGGGCATTTTCGTTCTGCCTCTCATCTTGCTAGACTAGGAAAAGTTGACAGTAGTATATTATATAGCTTGTGGCACTGGTGTTGAGGACTTAAACCACATTTTCCTCGAATGCCTCCTCCATGATTGCTCCTCTTTTATTACTTCTTTAATATCCGCCCGCATTTCCCTTCCTACATCCATGCAAATTCTTTTAAACTGTATTAATTATAAAATATATCAGTTAATATCATTCATAACAGAACATAATATTCAAGTATAAATATATATATCATAATATATTTCTAATATTTATTTAAACCCTGATCCTATTATCCTTTCCAAATTCCGCTCCTACATTCCATTCCTCAAAATGATTTCCCTACCTTTTAAACCTCGTTGTGGCTAATGCACAAACCGTGCAAGCCAATAAAAGAAAATAAAAAAAAAGTTGTTACTTTACTCTTTGATTCGATTGAAGTTTCCGGTCCGCATCTGTTGAATACTCGAATAAAGGAGTGTGCAGGAGTGTGCAATGCGATTGCTTCTGTTGCCTGCGGTCAAAACTATTAAAAATTAATTGAATTATAGAACCGTTGTGAAAATTTTATTCTGTACAAAAAAGGCGTGAAAGACGCACAACAGTCGGCAGTTTTTACTTAATAAAATTGATTGTTGCTGTATAAAATAATTACATATTACGGTACTTCGTAAAGTGCATGCACAGTTGCATGAACTCAAACAAAATCTTTGTGTCGAAGGTAAGTGAATCTATACTCATAACCGCGTGATTTTGCTATGTTTTTTTACACATCTCATTTCAATTTAATTTATAAAATGGGAAAATATTCGTCTACTATGATTTATGATCTCTAAAAAATTGCCTATAGAGTTTACGAAAACAGATAAAAATAAATAAATGCAATAAAATTATATTATAAAAAGTTTTTTATAAATAAGAGACACCTTTAAAAATGTAGATTTATTTAGTAATAAGTTTCACTTTATATTTGCTACGGAATAAAGCTTGTGTACTTTTTTCAGAATTCTAAATGCTAAACAAAATGGGTGTGTTCCGCACTGTTTTGTCTTTAACCCTTCAAAATGGGAAATCTGGATTGAAAAATAAAGTGAGTATACTAACATAAATTTTTACTTCATTTCAAGCCTTTTCAGGAAAAACATTGTAAGGACCAAGATTCCAAAAATGAGGTTTTTATTCCAATCGTTTGATCACGTATGTATTGTACTTATTTACTTTGATCTCTAAAGTATAAAATTATTTTTTATGAAAGTTTTTATCATAAGTACAACCAATGACTATTTTTTTGTCACTTACAATAGAAATTTATGCATTTTGCTTTTAGTTACTAGTTATTTTTACCATATTTAAATGTTAATTTTGGATATTGTTTTAGTTTTATTATAGAAAACCTTGATAATTTAGTAATAGAAATTATGAAATCTGTTTAATACGGCGGATGCATTAACATCTCCCAGCCAAACTCACTTAATTTTTTGCTGAGTGGTAAAATATGTGTGAAGTCTAGAGTTATCATGATGGAAAACCACACCACTTCTTCTTTTGGGTACTTTCTCTCAACTTCTTGCTGTAATCTCATCAGTTGTTTGCAATAGAGTTCAGAATTGATGTCCTGTTACATAATGTTCATAATGAATAATGCCCTTCCAATCCCACTATACACACAGCATCTCTTTGTTGCAAGTTAACCCGGGTTTAGCCACAGTCCATGAAGCCTGATCGACCTTTGACCATAATCTTTTAGGCATGTTCTTTTTCATATGTGATCCATTTTTCATAATCAGTTATCAAATTCTTAAAAAATGGTTCAGTTTCATTACACCGTAATAATGAAGAATCACAAATGAGTACTCAGCTAGTTGAGTTTGAGTTTACCCAAATTTCCAACTTTTTTGTGTACCCAGCTTTTTTCAAATGTGCCCAAACTTTTTTGTGGTCAATTCCCAGTTCTTCTGGTACACCATAACTACTGAAATGTTGATCTTGCACCACTTTTTAAAAAATTGCATCCATTTTTTCTGTAACCGAGCAACGTGCATTTATGACATCAAAATTTCCAGACAGAAAACACTTAAACCAAATTTGTGCTGCTGTCACAGAAACACTAGTTCCATAAATGTCACAATTTTTTTTTTGCATGTTTTGTTGCATTTTTACCCATTTTGTAATAAAACTTTAAAATGTATAAAATTTTTTCATTAGATTCACTCATTTTTTAATTTGAATTTGGAGTTATCTTCTTTCATTCAGTGCACAAATGTCCATTAAGGTTTCATGACGTCTTTAAGCTCTAATGAATGTCAAATTTGTATGGGTAATGTCGCTTTTAACTAATTACAATTTTTATGGACGTTTGTACTACTGGCTGTTTACCTATCATTGTTGTCAGTTTTACCTTAAGTGACATTTGTATAAGAATTTGAAGTACTAATGCTAATTTGAAAAACTACTTAACATGTAAAATAAATCAGTAGGTAGTCACCTGTACTGCATTTAGTGAAATTTGCAAAAATGATAACATATTAAAAACCTTTTGTTTTTAATTTTTGTAAAATTTTTTGTTAAAGTATACAATTATTTTAAAAATACAATAATCCTGTTAAATAAATAAAATGGCGGTTAGAATGTTCTTCCTGAAAAGGCTCAATATGGTTATTTATCACATATGTCACATATTTATAATGTTTAAAACTTTATTCATTTATATAGGTTCACTGAAAGTTTACAATCAATGTGTATAATATAGAGTAAAATTAAATTTTATAAGGCTAAACAGTGATCCTTAAATAAGTGCATGCACACAATATGGTCACATTAGCAACAAGTGTTGATATAACAATTAAATTAAATAACAAAAAAATATACTAGTAGGATTGATGAGGCTGAGGGGTGGAATATAGGTTCCAAACCGCTTTCCGAATCTGTCGCTTGCCAGTCGGCAGGGGTAGTGCCTAATGCATTATCTTGACGTCAAAAAAAAACAAAAGGGTTGATGAGGCTAATAATTTGGCATTTATAATAATATTTGATTCAACTTTGTTATATTGAGGGGTTCTTGGTATTGGAAGAATGTACTGGACATTCTTGAGAGAAGTATGTACTGGACTGGTCCAGTACATTCTTGTTATATATGTAATATTCCTTAGAAGACAATTTTTTTGGGTTCAATGTAAACTCCATCCAAGTTAATTCTTTATCGATAAATCATATACTTATAATGGGATGCTTTTTAAAATCACTTTGCTATATATGATATGTAGTCTTTTGTACACTCGCCACATTTCTGAAGAGTGTACAAAAGACTACAGGGACAGCATAAAAATCACATTTAAATTATAATTGACTAACTTCCACCAGAGGCTTCGCCCGCGTGTTTCCTAGGGAAATGTTAAGGGGGGATAAAAAGTATCCTGTTATCTAAGTCCGCTAATACCCTATGTGTATACCAAATTTAATCAAAATCCGTTCCGTAGTTTCGGCGTGAATGACGAACAAACATCCAAACAAAGAAACTTTCACATTTATAATATTAATAGGATTATCACCTGACTCAAAAATTCCTAAAATATTCCCATTTTCTAAATTGTTGAAAAACTACTAAACAATATCACGTTCTTCCCAAAAGCGCTATAAATACCTGATTTTAGTACTCTAGGCAAACACATATTGCAATTATACTCGTATGTTTGTTAATTGAAATTGCTCTTTGGGTTCTCGTATTAAATGTGATGTTCTTACATTTTTTTTAAACTCTCAATTCTATATAACAACCAAAACTACTGTACTTGAATAACAGTTATATAAAGCTTTTGTTATAAGATAAATATGTATATACATTGCGAATGTAAATAATTTTATACTTTCAAAGAATTGCATGATTTCTCTACTAACAGTATATTTGATAAAGATCTGACATATTATTTTATTAATGATTATTTTAGAATCATTTTTATATTTTTTATTATTATAAGTTTGATTAAATTGACTTTTTTATCAAATTTGCACGTCGTCTTGAAAAAAAATATGCTGGTCATTTTAAATTGTCTATAACTTATGTAACCATATTTTGACAAATGAAGATTTTATTAATATTATTGCTTACCAAAAAAAGAACACTAAATTAATAATTATGGCGAGTTTACAATAATTTAGTTGTCAATGGCGAATTTACACATACTTTTTTTAAGAATGGCGAATTAACATTGAATGTATGGGATCTCTAAATGCATGGCGAATGTACAAAGACCCGTTTTTCGCAGTGCAAAGTCCAAGCCATAGATATAGAAATCATCGTGTATCAATAATGGTCTGCAATCCTTTATTTTTTTTATTTTAATAATGATTTTGGTTGTAGTATGTGGTATAATAAAGATCTTTTTAAATAGATTACAAGAAATAAAAGTTTAGTAGATTCCTCAACACCAAACAAAAATAGTGCATTATAAATAATATCTAATAAGACAAACATTAGATATTATTGTGATGGAAGATGTGATGGGACAGTTGGCATTTAAAATATTTGTATATAAACTTTGGGATATATTTTAATTGAGACATTTTATCGCTCTCTTTATGCCATTTCATTAATTTCTAGTACCTTGTAGCTTACGTTGAAGTGTACTTATATGATAGAGTACTATTAGGACGAGCCTGCTAAATTTAGGAATTGATTTAGTAACGTCATTTCACGAGTAATCAAAAAAGCTGATTTTATTTACATATTAGGGATAGGAAATTAGATTCACTTAATATTCGAGTTCTATACTTGACGTGCAAAATTCATACTTAAATGTATGTCTCAAATAGTGCACAAAGGGACACAATTATTTTTACCCAATAAAAGTAGGGATTTACGAATTAGTTACTATGACCTATCATAATTTAAAGAAACAAAAAAGTATTCAGCTTTCGTAACATAGGTCATATGATAAGAATATATCAAGCGATCATTAATATTCATTACCTGTGAAACCTTGTCATAAAAATTTTATATTTATTACAAAATCAAAATGGTTGACTGAAAAACTTGTTGTTTCACAAAAGATCGAAGGGGAAAGAAGTAGAAGTGTTGATTCACATAAATCTTTGATTATAACGGAAATACACGATAATTTAGACGCATATCTTTTTTTATATAATAGGTTAAAATTTAAAGAATTTTTAAAATGAATCATTTCAGTTAACAATTAAATATTTTACTTGTAAGTTTCGTAATTTTCCTTCTCTTAAGATATTTGGGATCTTTTTCAGTTTCCATAGTCGCCATTTGTTACATTATTTTGTAAAACTCGTTTAAATTTGTAAATGTAACTTGTGTAATGTTAACAATAAAAATATTATATTCTATTCTTTATCATTAAAAATATGGTTTATTAATATTAGGTAGTATTTTGAGTAATAAAAACTAACTTTTATTTTATTAAACTTGGCAACAGATAGCCGGCCGGCTCGCTCGTCGCGCACGATACAATCACGAAGTTGTCACGTGCCGTCTGGCTCAATGTGCATGTTATTAATTCGCCATGTAAAGTGTGATCTACACGATACAGACAATCCAACTGACTTTGTTTGTTGCTATCTATCTATTCTAAATCAAGTTACCTCCAAGTTACCATTGGTGGAACGGTTGGACCTCTAGTTTGTAACCGCGTATAAGTTTTATTATCTTTTTTTTGTATTACATGGTATTTATATAATACGATCGTTAAACGTTTCATAACGATGTGGTAAGCAGGCAAATTGGCTATTCTGTTTGGGTAACAATGATATGATAATAACTAAAACCTTTAATAAAAGAATGATAAAATCCAGCTTAATGTAGAACATGATAGTTTCTTGGGACGCTAGTTTCAACCGTGTGGAACACATTTTATGGTATTGCTTTTTGTATACATAGTAGCCACTTACATAGATCGACCGTAATGTTAATACTTTTGACTGCACGAGACATAAGTGTGGGTGGTTAAATACCTGTATAAATCGTTTTGTTTTTATAAATGAAGAGATATTTGTGTTACGACACGGAAACTGACGCTCCTTGAAGAGAAAATGTATGTTACATTTCTCTAGCCTTATAGAATTAAGGGT